GGGATAAGAAAACATTTGAAATCTTCTGTTTCTTGCTGATTTTCTTGGTGCTGTGTTTTGCATTAGGTGTAGTGAATGTACTCTTGACCACTCCTCTCTGGGTAGTGAACACACGCCTGAAGCTGCAGGGAGCAAAGTTTAGAAATGAGGACATTGTACCAACCAATTACAGAGGCATAATAGGTAAGCACCTGCTTTAGTTGTCTTCAAGTAAAGAGAAGTTTACAGGATGAAATATATCAAGGGCTTTGAAAAAGACTTTTGCTCATGTAACTGATTTCACCCTATAATCTCTGTGCTTCTCTGTCACCTTGCAGTCATTGAATATTACAGTAAACTAGACTTGGCTATTTCTGGTGGTAATTAAGAGTTTGTAGTATGCACCTCTGTAACTAAGATGCCTCTTACTAAGGCAGGTATCTTATCATAGTGAGCCCAGTGAAGTGGTACCTAGGGGTCTGAGTTTAGACAGGCAATCTGAAAATTTAACTTCACTCACCTTCGTCTCTTAGTCATCCACATGTTTATAGAATCGTAGAATCAAGCAGGTTGGTAAAGACCTCAAAGATTATCGAGTCCAACCCTACCATCATTACTAGACCATGGCACTAAGTGCCACATCCAGTCTCACCTTGAAAACCTCCAGGGATGGTGAATCCCCCACCTCCCTGGGCAGCCCATTCCAATGCCTGAGCACTCTCTGTAAAAAATCTCTTCCTAATATCCAACCTAACCCTCCCCTGGCAGAGCTTGAGTCTGTGCCCTCTTGTCCTCCTGCTGTTTGCCTGGGAGAAGAGACCAACCCCCACCTGACTCCAACCTCCTTTCAGGGAGTTGTAGAGGGTGATAAGGTCACCCTTGAGCCTCCTCTTCTCCAGGCTAAACACCCCCAGCTCCCTCAGCCTCTCCTCATGGCACTATGCTCGAGTCCCTTCACCAGCCTCGTTGCTCTTCTCTTCTCCTTTTTAAAACAAATAAATATTGTTGTAATTCTGAAGGTCATTTAAATGACCTGAATGTTGATGCTGCACTTGTACTAAAAAGAGTGAGCTGTCTGTGCAGATGATAAGCTTTGTTTATGTCAGTGGTGATATGAGCAAGAACCTCCTTTGTCACCATTTTTCTCTTCCAGATTAAAATGGAAGGTAAAAATAGTTGCATAAAAGGCTGCAGTGAGTTTTTATTCACTTTGAGTGTTAGGCTTTAAGTGTAACTTCTCTTATCTTTCACAGTCAAGAGTTTTGTACTCAAAATTGTAATGATTTCCCCCCTCTTTTGTCTCAGATGCCTTTCATCAGATAATACGAGATGAAGGAGTCTTAGCTCTGTGGAATGGTACTTTCCCCTCCTTGCTGCTGGTCTTCAATCCTGCCATACAGTTCATGTTTTATGAAGGCTTTAAACGAAAGCTTTTGAAAAAGCAGCTGCAGGTGAGTATGTTTTGAGTCCATGTGATGGATATGCTCTGTTATGAGACGGGTTCTGTGATATGCATCACTTCAGCCAACTCAGAAATGTAGGTTTGGTTTTGGTTCTTGTATTTTTGAGGTTTTTTTTGTGTCAGTGAGTCTAAAAAGGATCCAGCATTATGGAATGAGATGTGAATCTTTCATGTCCCTAGGGAGGATATTCTGTGATGAATTCCTCTTCCTGTAAAAGTAAAACTGCACCTCTTGTCCATATCTGTTTGCATTTGTTCACAGGTCGTCATTTAAAGTAGAGATTTCAATTCTGATGTATCTTTTATGAGTATTTACTTACAGACTGTTTCAAAGTCTGCCCTTAAACATTTTCCCAGTAAATGAAGTAGAATCCTACTTCTTCAATTGTAGAATCCTCTCAAGCCCTTGAAGTATCACCGTTCTGGGTCCTGTCATTTTAATAACACTTTTCTCTTGAGGCCCTCAGTTTTTCAATATAATTTTGCAAGATGAACACTAGACTTGAACATAGCACTGCATACCTTCCTAATTCTCTGAAGAGAGGTGTAATCACTGTTCTGTCCCTGCTTTATAGTCACCTTCTTTATTCTTTTTCTCCATGTCAGATACAGAACCTCAGCTGACCTCATGTTCCTTTTATGTTCCAGCAAATTGAAAAGCATTCGCGTTATGTTTTCAGATCATGTCATAACACACTATGTTTAAGCTGCAGTGCTTTGCTGCTAATTTGTTATTTTAGAATGCATTTGTCTGTATTATAATGTTAGGCCATATCAGTGTGTTACAAAGCCACCTTGTTTTTCCTCAAGACATAGTGAGATTGTATTTACAAGAGATTTTGCATCATCAATGAAGCTTGGGGTTTTTGCTGTCTTTTTATTTAATACTGCAGCTGTAGCTCTGCATTTGTGCCTGATGGATCCATCCAGTCATGTTATGGACTATGTATTTTTTGAGTAACAGGCTGAGCTTCCCTCTGTATTGTTATTTGTCTGTTGGCTAGTAACATATATCTATTTATTGTGTTTCTGTTACATCACTTTGTTCTACCTTAAGGTCAACTTAATTGGAGCTTAAAGCTCTTAGAGCTTTTTATTTGTCCATGACCAATGGAGAAAGAAAATACCTTTTTTCCCCTAGCAACTGTAGTTTTTATTTTGGACAACATTTTTCTTATTTGGTCTTTTCCTGATTGTCTTAAGTAAATCAGACTGACGTTTTTAAGCTGTTCATGCATGTGCATGTTTGTGATTGCAATCAATATATGTTACAAATTTCCAGCATGTTTTGACATGGCACCTACTTATTTTCAGTGATTCGTTCACACTGTTGGGCTGGAATCAGCTTAGACTGTAACAGTGTATTTGGTACATGCTGGAACAGTGTGGGCCTTGGGGCTGTGGATGAGCTTCCCCAGGTGTTCTTAACTAACAGGGGAAGAGATATTTGCCTATATCATGGAGGCTACAATTCTGTCTGAGAGCTAGTGATTGTCTCAGTGATTTTGTCTCAGGACTACAAGGCAATGTTCAGGGAGTCTTTCACTGTTACGTTGTCACAAGCACCATGTGACTTGTTAGCTTAAATGTTGCAAAAGCTGAAATGCTTCTTGACTGATATGTGTTTAAATGATACTTCTTAGCCTTTGTCTACTCTTGGTGCTTTAAAGTGATCTAGTTGCAGGGATTTATATCAGCTGTGTTTTTATAACCTAGTTATAGTGAGAAATGCAAACACTTGTGAGCAGGTAGAAGTTGCAAATAAACTTCAGTTGTGGGAAAGTTAGTTGGTTGAACTGTAACTAACTCTTTAAAATGAGAAGTTCCAGAGATTTCATGAAATTTTGTGATCTGTAGATTATCTGGTAACAGGTACAGAATCCCCAAACATATATGGGTAACTGTCTGTTTTGGTACTCTCTGGAATTAATCTGTTCTTTATCTGTTGAACAGCTCACATCTTTGGATGCTTTTGTCATTGGTGCAATAGCCAAAGCAGTTGCCACCACCCTCACTTATCCTCTGCAGACAGTGCAGTCAATTCTGCGGGTGAGTAATCATTTTGTTTCAGGGTAATTGCTTCTGACTTGTTCTGTGTCATGCAAACCTTGTTCAGACCTTTAGGGTGTTCAGGCACTGGAATGGGTTGCCTGGAGAGGTGGTGGAGTCACCATCCCTGGAAGTGTTTAAGAGGTGTCTGGATCTGGTGCTGGAGGATATGATTTAGGGGTTACAGCAGTGGCAGGTTAATGGTTGGACTGGATGGTCTTAGAGATCTCCTCCAACCTTGATGATTCTATGATTCCTATGATTTGTTTGTCTTTGTGTTGATGGACCCACCGTTTTGGGAGGTACTTTTGCACAGAGCAGGTCACTGATTAGGATGTCTCTCTTTGATTCTGATCAAACTTGATGTTACTTGTGCACATGTGTTTCTAGTAGCTGTAGGATTACCAGTGTAGTGCATTGGTGCAGTGTCTCACAGGAGCTGATACACAGTATTGGTTCCAGGCACTACCAAAATGTACGTGTACTTCTTGGATACAGAAAATGTATTAAGTGGGAAATTCAAATGAAATCTTTCAAACCCAGTTTGGTTCCAGATGGCCCAGGGCAAAAAAGAATCCCTAAACTTCTATTCTTAAGTTTTGTCTTATTTGGATGATGATCTGGCCTTGTCAGTATCCACAACATGATTCATAAGGGAACTGCTGCCTGCAGTGTGGACCTATATTGGAGTAATATTGACAGAAGGCAAAATTGGGGCAGGGGAGAAGGAGGAGACCTGGCCATGCATAAGCATATTGTACTTAAAATCTATTTTTATAGCAGTTAAAGATTAATAAATGTTTCCACATGAAATATAATGCTGTTTTCTTAAGTCAGGAGAAGCCTTAGCTTGCATGTATGGTAAAGTCATTATGTATGTTCTAAAACCTGTACAACTTTGGAGAATTAGTTGAATTATTGAAAACAAGTCTTCATGCTAAGGGTATCACTTTCCAGACTTCTCTAACAGGGGAATTTTCTTGTTCATATGGAAAAAGTGATGCCCAAGCAATTTTTGTAATTATTTGAGTTTTTCTTCTCTCTAATTAGAGTGGAATAAATGTTTCTGATCTTTCATGGCCTGTAAAAAGATAGTTTGGATGCTACATTTCAGAGCAACAGGACTTGAATATCTTTACTGTGTAATGTTGTCAGCAGTCATCTTTTGTGAAGTTTTCATCATTTTTGATGATCAGCTGAGCTAGTGCTCAATGTAACAGCTTCAGCCCTTGTGGCTTTCCATGGCTGCTATAGAAGTGGTTACAGTCTTTGGGGCATTGTGTTTTGTCTGTCTCCTTTTGGCTTGTTTGAATCAAATTCTTCTCTCTCTTAATGACAGTGTCATTCTTTAAAAAAAAAAATAGCAGCTTTGGTAGGTTGTGCTGCCAGCTTGGTGTGCTGCCCAGCTGCTGCTTACTGCTCACCTCAGCTGCAGTCAGCCAGCTCTCTGCTGGCTTGCCCAGGCACTGATGAGTTGCCTTTCTGCTACAGCACAGCTAACCATCAGTGCCCTGGCAAGGGGGATTTTTCTCACAGCAGCCCACTGTGAAATAAAGTGGCCTATATGATGCTTCTCAGTGCCAGTCCCTCCTCTCCCTGTGATGGTGGGGGACACAAGGACTCTATCTCTAGTTCTGCAGTCACCACTTGGTTCCCTCTGCTCTGTGAAAGAATAGCCAGAAACTCTGAACACATTTGTTCAATATCAATCACAGCACAAATGTGCATCTGTGATTCCAGTGCTGTCCAGTTCAGACTTGCTCTGCTTCATGGTGTGTTTTCTAAGCTAAAGCTAGCATTGTTTTGTTTATGAAGATTTTGTCACTCACACTAAGTGATGTTAAAAAAAAAGTTACAAATACAGGTTTATTATTTTCAGAAATAGCATTCTGCAAGAAGTTGATATAGTTGTGGAAGGGTTTTTTGGAAACAATTTTAGCAGATTTATGAACAAACTAATACAAGCTGAATATAATTCATACAAACTTACACATCATAATTATTTCTGTGATCAAAGTAGAAGTACAGGACTTTCTTTTTCTTTTCTAACTTAAACCTTTAGAAACTTATTTGAAAGTTATTAGAGTTCTTACAACCTTTGCCTTCAACTCTTTGGCACAACACTCTTCTTGCTTCCCTATAATGAGCAGTTTTCCTGTGTAATTGATAGTAGTAGCAGCTTCCAGCCTTGCCATTTGGTATGTCTGTCTCCTTTTCATTCATTAAAAATGCATGACACTGGTGTTACTCATTATGCAGTGAAATTGTTCTTTAGCCTATGTGTCAGTAAAAAGTGGATAGATTAAATTTGCCTCTGGAGATACAGCAATGCTGTTAATGTTCTTAGTGATCCAGGGTGAAAAAGTTCTCTTTAAAACTGAAGTCTCTCTTCTCTGTCATAGAGAATCTTAGTCCCTTTGGGAAATCTTCTGCAGTAACCAGTGAAGTATTGATGTCCTAGGGAGAAATTAAAGGGTTTTTTCCTCTCTTGATGAACCCTTGTTTGCAGTACAAAAATTGTCCAGTGGTGGAGAAAAGAGGAGAATGCCAGGTCCTGCACTTTGGCCATAACAATCCCATGCAGTGCTCCAGGCTGGGGACAGAGTGGCTGGAGAGCACCAGGCAGAAAGGGACCTGGGAGTTTGGATAGATAGAAAGCTGAACATGAGCCAGCAGTGTGCTCAGGTGGCCAAGAAGGCCAATGGCATCCTGGCCTGGATCAGGAACAGTGTGGTCAGCAGGACCAGGGAGGTGATTCTGCCCCTGGACTCGGCACTGGTGAGGCCACACCTTGAATCCTGTGTACAGTTCTGGGCACCTCAGTTCAGGAAGCATATTGAGGTGCTGGAGCAGGTCCAGAGAAGAGCAACAAGGCTGGTGAAGGGACTCCAGCACATTCCCATAAGGAGAGGCTGAGTGAGCTGGAGTTGTTAAGCCTGGAGAAGAGGAGGCTCAGGGGAGACCTTATCACCCTCTACAACTCCCTGAAAGGAGGTTGGAGTCAGGTGGGGGTTGGTCTCTTCTCCCAGGCAACCAGCAGGACAACAAGAGGGCACAGACTCAAGCTCTGCCAGGGGAGGTTGAGGTTGGATATTAGGAAGAGTTTTTTTACAGAGAGAGTGCTCAGGCATTGGAATGGGCTGCCCAGGGAGGTGGTGGATTCACCGTCCCTGGAGGTTTTCAAGGTGAGACTGGATGTGGCATTTAGTGCCATGGTCTATTAACCATGGTAGGGTTGGACTTGCTGATCTTTGAGGTCTTTTCCAACCCAGTTGATTCTATGATTCTATGAAGCACCTAATCCTGGTGTAGTTTGGAAGCCTATGAGTAATCTGGGCAGTGACTGACACTATAGCTTGGAAACTAGTTAGCAGTTTTTGGGGTGTGTGTCTGAGTCTTTGACAATAATTCTTAACATTGATTTATCAATATCAAATGAGTTAGTTGCTGATGAGACGATCATGGATTGTGAGCAAGTATGTGCTTAATAAAGGGAGATTTCCAAGAGTGTTCTGTCACCGCTGTTTCCATTTTCATTGTTAAGACATAGTAAAAGTATTGTTGTGGCATTTTCTTGTCATTTCTAAACTGCTTAAATCAGCTTGAATACTTCACCTACTGTCAGTGGTAATTTCTTACACCTAAGAAGTAACCGTTGCCTGAGCGAGTTCTGGGAAAAACACATCCACAGGCAGTTCAGCTTTCTTAGCCCAGAAGCTTAAGACAGGCTTCAAAAGCTATTAGGCTGTGCTGTTATAAATACAAGTGTGTCAACTCCTGTGTATGAATAATTCATAGTTACAGCTTGCTGACAGTACTATTGACCCGTATCAGAGAAGAGCATCCATGAATGGTAGAAAAGGAGTTGCTGAAATTGCTAGTTTAACTCTGAGACATAAAACTACAGCAGCAGCTATCATGCCTACTGAAAACCAGTCTGGGGATAAACAGGTGCAGTGAGTAAAAGAGAAATAGTCTTTAGACCAGGTAGGTGGATCAAAGAATTTTGGATTCTTCCACAGCAGTTCCCGTGTAAATGTTTTGCTCCAAACTGTTTCCTCCAGAGCAACTGAAAGACAGGAGATAGGGCCATGTGTAACACTTTGTTAGAGTCCATCTTAAAACCAAAACAAATGATTGTAGCATATACACTTCTGACACATGGTGTGGGAGCTTTGGCCTCAGTCCTCCACTGATGACCATATAACATGGGAAATGTGAAAGAGGTTTAAGATAAGTTTCCAGATTCCATGGATGTGTTGTGTTCTCTGCCTGGCACTGTGGGGAAATAGTACAGCAGATGCTCTTCCTTTTTTGCAGTTCGGGCGCCACAGGTTGAACCCAGAGAACCGAACACTGGGCAGTCTCAGAAACGTTCTTTACCTTCTTCAACAGAGAGTGAGGTGAGCTTTCCCATTTCTTTTCTCCTACCACCATACACAAGAGTATTACCTGTGTTGAAAATGTTGCTGGATCTGAATTTTGTTTCTCTTTGCCTCCCTCAAACTTGCCATTTGAGTCAACTTAGTCCTAAATGTCTGTACAGTAAGTGGCATCAAGGACGCGTATGGATACCGATTGGTTTCACCTCTCATCTTGACAAGAAGCAGGTTTCTTGCACAAAAGACCTTAAATTTCTGGAGAATTTTCTCTTTAAAATATTACTAAACATAGCTGGCACTTGAGATCAAGAGTGAGTTAAAGATTCCTACAGTTGTCATTAAGTGGTGATGTTAATTCTACTTTGCAGTGTACTAATTTACTTACAGAAAACTATTCACATTCGTTTTCTTGTTTGTTTTTCTCTCCTCCTTAGGCGTTTTGGATTAGTGGGACTCTACAAAGGCCTTGAAGCAAAGCTCCTGCAGACAGTCCTTACTGCTGCTCTTATGTTTCTAGTGTATGAGAAACTGACTGCTGCCACCTTCACAGTCATGGGATTGAAGCACTCACGCAAACACTGAGAAAGGAACCTATGCCAAAGATTATGAGGTCTGGAAAACACATTCCATGTCTGAGACCAGGCTGGGTAACAAAGGGTCCTCACTTTCTCTATTTCTCTTTTCAGCCACCTCCATCTCCAGTATTTGGAGAAATCTGGAATATACTCTATAGGGCCTGTTGCCATGAATTCAGGGATAGCCCATTCCCTACTGTTCTGTGGACTCACCGTGTTAAGAAACAGACCAGAGACCTTGTTTAAGCACTTGACATGAAATTTTAACTACTCTGAGTAACTCACTCTGCTTTCTTGATTTCCCTCAAATCATCCTCAGCTATTCTTTCCCTTCAGCAGTTGGTGGGGCTGGTTTTGTGTTATTTTCTTGAGCCTGTGTTTATGTCACTTTATCTTTGGTTCATTAAAATAATTCATAAAGAATCAGATTTTTGGCATGGTTTTCTTTTACCTTCAAGTATGGTTGTGGCACAGGATGTGATGTTGCTCAAATAACTGGCAGTGAAGTCTCTGAACTGCTAGGATGACATTACCAAGTGAGTGGGCACTCTGCCTTCTTGAATCTACCTATTTGAAAGTTGGAAATTTTGAATGCGGCTGAATAGGAGGAACACAATCTCTTGGTTTTTCAAGCTGTGTCCCTCAAGCTGCCTCAAGAATGTGGACTTGCTATGCAGAAATATGTGAAGTTTTGTAACCCTGTTCCCATTTTCTCACACGACCGGGGGACACTGCCCTATGCTTCAGAAGTGCTATGCCCTCTCAAAAATGTGCTTGCATTATTTTTCCAGTGATTTTCCCAGACCATAAAGCATAAAGAGTCTAACTCTTGTCCCAGTTAATGTACATGTGTATGTTCTTTTTGCATAGTTTTGGTCAGTAGTCCCAGACCATAAAATCCAAACTAAATCCTGCTGTGTCCAGCGTTAAGTTTGCAGTAGGATTGTTTTGAAGGACAGTTTTCTCTTTGAAGTATTGACAAATTCCATGACAGTTTAACACCAAGATTGCCCAGGAGAAGACGTGAGTGCTGCAGGAAATGTGTTACTGAATCACAAAATGAAATCCTTTTGTGGGTCTCAACTGAGTCAATTCCAAGTATGAAATGGGAAAACAATTCTGCAGATCATGTCTTTTGAAACAGAATAAAAGCCTCTATACCAGCTGCATCTTTTAAGAGCACTGAGAGTGTCTATTTAAAAAAATGCTCTTAATTCACTGCTTTAGGATGCTTTAGAGTCCAAATTAGATTTACATATGACAAGAATGAGAAAGCACAGTGAGCTGTAAGTATACTTTGTTATGGGATGAAACTTAATGAAAGCCTGGAGACCTCACCACTAGAAAAGATTAAATCACAGTTCTGAAAATGTCAGTGAAAATACTCCTCTGACTGAAAGGAGGTGCCCTGTGGGAAGGTGATCTGCTGGCTTTTTGTTGGTTTTAATAAGAAGTATAGAGTCAGTAGCATGGCTCTGGATAAGCTACCTCACCTCGAAATTCCTGCTCTCAGAATCACTGTGGGGAGGCAAAGTGGTTCTCAGGCCACTCTGGCTGAAATCTGCGTGGCCTCTAGGAGCTGTAGTTCAGTGCCTCAGGTTTTTCTGGTCTGTAGCATGAAGGAGCAGTTGCTGCAGAAGTACTTTTCTGGTTGCTAAACCTGTAAGAAAGAAAGGAAGTGCTTGCTAGCTAGCCAAAGTAAATCCTTGCTAGTTAGCTAGCCAAAAAATATTTGCCTACCAGCCAGTGTGGATTCAAATGGATAAAGAAGCATCTCATTTTTGCAGAAAAGCTGCATCCAGAGCTCCTGTGCAGAGCAGTGCTGGCCTTGCCTGTGTCTGCGTTGCCATTAAACCTGGAATGGATATTTTGCACTAAACTTCACTTGACTCTGCTGACCAGTCGTAATCAGACTCCTTCCAGAGATGAAAGCAGAAGCTATTGAAGCTGGGAGGATTTTTCTTCTGCATTCTCTGGTATTGATTTAGACATTAGACTCTAATAACTGAGAACCTTCTGTGACTGAGCCAAACTAGAGAAGGTTGGGGAATGGTTCCGTCATCCATTCCATTGGCAGGCCAATGTTCATGTTAGAGCTGGTATCTCTGCTGAAGTTTTCCTGAACATCTTTGAACAGATGATGACATTTCTGTTAGAATGTCTGAAATTATTTCAGGCTTCAAAGGCGTAGGTGAGTATCTCTGTGATTGAAGAAGCATAATTTATCAACACAAACTATGAAAGGCTATTTCTAATCTTGGTGCTAAGGTTGTAAGCTGCCCATGGTAGAAAAACACTGTCCAGAAATAAAACCAAAATACAATCATTTAACTCAGTTTTAAGATGTATTTACATAAATTGTTATTTCCTGATGTCCTCATAAAGAAACATATATCTTCAGGTGGTGGTGTAAAGACACAATTCAGCTCATCTGACTCTGTGGTTCAGTCACTTCACTGGGAAAAAATAGTTGTAGGAGAACTAATGAACATTTCCATGACAAAAGGCAGAAATCATAGACAAAAATGCCTCCTCAGGGACATGGAATTAGACACAGAGTATAAAGTGGTGTGGCAGAAGCAGCTCCACACACAAGTACCTGCAGTGAAAGCCTCAGTGGTCAATGTGCTGCACTTCCACTGTGTTCAGTATGTAACTATGTGTTCCAGCCAAAATATTGCATCAATTCACTTCTAGAGAACCTAACAGAAAATATTTTCATCACCACATGAAAAACAGACCTTCTCTCTATTCTTCTTTAATAGTACTTTTGAGGGAAGAGAGAAAGGAAAGATGATTACAAAGACAGCAGCAGAGAGGATCGTCCGTCTTAGCCAAGTTCCGTCATGGATAATTCTGTCCTTGGCTCAATTTAGAAGATTTAAATTTAATCCTGTGCTGTTCTTTCTCTTCCCTGCCCCACACTTTGCCTGAAGGTAGGAAACCTCTGTGGCACCTTAGAGATTGCGAAGCAAGTGTCTTCTCAGGTAGCTGTGATGTTTGGTATGAATTCTGCTCCTATTTGTATTTTAAACCATGTTTCTTGTGATTAGAAATTGTTTGTGTGGATAATAGGGCAGTAATTAACACATTCTAGCTTATTCACTGAGGTTATTCATATATAATATATAACAAGAATGTTACTCACTGAGCCTCAGTGAGGAGGATGACAACTGGTAGGGTATAACATGTACTTTTTATCTTATATAATGTTGAATTGCTGAATGCAGCTAAGTATTCAGTACCTGCTGTCAGAGCTGGCTGTACTTTGCTGGAAGACTCTCTCCATCAAGTGATCTGCCCTTTCTGGCTTCCCTGAACAAAGTTATTAAAACCTTAAAGCTGGTGCCTACCCTGTGTGGGAGGAAAACCAAGATTTACCTCTAGTCTGTCCAAGAGGAACAGAGTGCGCTGCACTGCTGCACTGCAAATTAACCCTTTCATTATGTGTCTTATTGCTCAGCTGCTGAGGAAGGAAAAGGGGAGTACTGACCCTGCACCTTGCTGGACTTATGTAGTAAAGGCAGGTAAACACAGAGAAAAAAACAGACGACCTTTCAAGACTGTGATACTCCTGCACTGTTGAAAAAGATATTCATTGCCATCAGTGGTTTTATTTTTCCATCACATGTGAGAAACATTTCCCAAGTGATGAGCATGGGGCCATGGGAGGGAGGGAGCTATTTGGGAGGCCCACAGTGCCCATGCCCATTGTTGAGTGTTATGTCTTTTTTGAAATCAATATGATTAAAAGCAAAGAGTTAGATGGGAAAGATAGATATCAAAACCAGTTGTTTTTTTGTATAATTGTTAAGTCACCTAACCTAAAAGGATGAACTGTGTGTCTGCAAAAGTTGCTTCATGAGGGGTTGGGGAAGGAGAAGATGCTCTTGCATTATGAATCTTTCAGCCTCTTGCAGTTGCTCTCACAGCAGAACGAGAGGTTTTAAGGCACAGTCTGATGGAGTGTGTGGGCTACAGAGTCCTCTTCAAAGCAAGTTTTCATGGTATGGAGAGGGAACAAAAAAGAGATCTCTCCACCTTTCTATTTGGCTGACAACAGTTTGTAGCAGTGTAGTGAATCTGCCAAAGCATCCAGGAGGACAGCACAGCCACTCCAAGGTAAGGGGCAGAAGCTTGAGCAAAGATGGATTTATTTCTGTGCCCTCTGTAGCAGGGGAGGCACCAGTGCAGTTACTGCAGCTGGAGGAGAGGGAAGAGCAGTAATTTGGTGGTGGTCCAGATGTACAAGTGAAAACAAGGCCAAAATCTACCTGTGAGAGGTTCCCAGATATCCATCTCCAGCACGCTGCAAGGTCCTGATGTAGCAGCTGCGCAGTGGATCGTGTCTCATGGGGGTGCTATCACAGCAGCAATGAACTACATGGTTCACATCCTCCTCTCAGCCATTCCAGAAGTGAGAGGCTTCATTTTTACAACCCCTAACTGAAAAATTGGATGTCTATTCTTTAGGAGCTGGAATGGTCCAGATAGAGGGTTTTTCCTTGCAGAATACCCCATTACTCAACACTTTTCATTTGCTGTGTTGCTTCCTGTGATCTTTTAAAGCAGCTGAAGAAAATAACAGCTGTGTCCAGTTTCCTTGCATTTTCATTTGGATTTTGGCTGCCACAATTACCTTCAGGCATTTAGGAGGCCTCGCAACCGTGGCAATACACTGGGTTCTAAGAGAGTTGGAAAGGACTTGAAAGGCACATGGTTAATGGTCACACTGGGAACAGCACCTCAGAGGAGCAGATTTCAACCACAGGGAAATCCTCTTCACAATGTTGGATTTGTAGCTTTACCTCTACTGCCAAACACCAGATTGATACACATGTGCTGGGCTTGGGGATATGTGTAGAGAAGGGGCCTGGGATCAAACCCCATCAGCCTTGGCATGGTTTATCCATAGGAAAACATATTTTTCGGACTTCAGCCAGTGCTCAGCTCACACTGGGAGAATTGCAATTGTTAGTGCTTGTTATCCAGCTGTCGTCACTGCCCATGTCGGTCTTATTCTTAGTAACAGCTAATCTCTTCTGTACGCTTACATCCAGATATGGAGGATGAGGTTGGGGTTTTCTTCCCAATAGGATTTATTTGGAATTATAGACAAATGCCGACCAGGCCTTGGCACACTTCGCTGTGGTTCCCTTTCTGAAAATTGTCACCTTACAATTCTTGGCTTGGCCTTTCCGATCTTCATCTGTGATGGACAGAAGATTTCAGCATGTCCTGGTGGATGGAAAACGTGACAGGACCTCCCCTAAATGC